GAATAACATAGGTTTTGTGAGAGCCTAAAAACGACCGTCCTACTCCATAGACAGCTCGACAGCGCCCCCCTTAATTAACATTTTTAATTAGTTAAAAAAATTATTACCCATTTTTAAAAACTATTATTGATACATTAAAGTTAGTAAAAGATACCTTATGTTTTTTGTTCTCTGTAAATAATTTAGATGTATTTTTCACAGCTGTACACTTTAGAGTGGAGCTGGAGATGTTTTCTTGTTTTTGAAGAAGCAAAAGTCTCAGAAGTTAAAAACAATTAGAACTTTAAACTAAAATGTTCAGACATGCTGAGTGTGTCGTGGACTTGATTTTAAGTTTGGTTTCACCTCTGCCTCTGCAGTACAGGTGCACAGTGATGACAGAGGGTCCTGTTGGAGGACAGGGACTGTTTCCTGGAAGGATGCAGGAGCAGGATCAGTCTGTTCCACCCTGCTGTTTGTTCAGCAAAGCTCTGCTCTGGACTTCCTGCTTCATTGTGTCTTTTTCTGCACAGGTCGCTTCTTTTCATCAGAACCTCTGCACAGGACCTGTTAGTACCAGAGGTCCTGGTCAGGTCCTGGTCAGGTCCTGGTCAGGTCCTCAGGTCCTGATCAGACTAAATGTGAAGTTCACACTTTAAAAATCTTGCTGCAGAAACTCTCAGCTGTTTCCTGTTTGGATAACATATCATCAGGTCTGATTGAGCTGACCCTTGGGGGGCTCATATGGACCCCACTCCTGTAGGGTGTGGTGGTGGGCTCCTCCTGACCTGGGGTGGGGTTAGAGGCCCGGCTCACTCCCTAAGAGGCAGCGGTGACTTGTACCTGTTAGCTGTGACAGCTGTGAGCACAGACAGCAGGAACCAATCAGGATATGAATCATTTCAAGGTGCAGTTATGAACTGTGGGTTTAGCTCTCAGTTGTATTAAAGTTGTTGTTTTTAAACTTTATTAGTGTGTATGGTAAATAACCTCTTATTTTCCCAATACTTGTTTTTAAATGATAAAGATTAAAAGAGTAATTAATCATCAGAAACACTTTGAATCTGTTAATGATTAAGGTTAGGCACAGCCTCTTCATGCCTTTGCTCTCTTTGAAGCTTTCATTCCTGTTAACCACAACATTGTTCTTTGATTTCCTTTATTTGAATGATTGAAGCTTGTTTTTGTCTTGAAGAAGATGAGTACAGGAGGCAAGTTGTTGAAGTGAAGCAAAACCCAGTTATATAACAGAGCCTGCTTTAATTGGTTGAACATCACACCACTTACAGTATTATCCATGCTTGTGTTATGGACTGGGTACTGAAGGACTCCAGTAATTAGTTCTGTGAAACTGGGCTGGACCATCAGCATGAAGCTAATTTCACTGGTTTTGGGGGTTTCTTGGTCTTTCTGCCCCCAGAGGACTGGTGATTAGCTCTGAAGTAAGGCTAATAAATGAATACCTGTCTTTATACGGCCTAAGAGATTGTTGACAAATGATGAGTTTGTGAATCATTTAGATGTAATTTATTGGTTCTTAAAGTGTTTTATCTTTGTCTACACTGAAATTAGGGTCAAAACAACAATTTCTGCTTTTTTCTTGTTCTGCTTTCAGGCTAAAACAAGATGGTGATACATGATAACTGTGTGTGTGTGTGTGTGTGTGTGTGTGTGTGTGTGTG